CCTCTCTACATGATATATAAACAGTGTAGACACATCTGTGACCGGCACAAATGAATGCCCATAACAACTTAGTACCTTTTTCCACCATAACGGGAAAGACTCAGCAACGCTATACTCCTAGTATATCACAGAGATGTGTGAAATTAGGATAAGGAAAGATGGCACACATAATATTGTGTTTGCAAAGCTTCCTCTTGAAACATCAAAATAGGTGGGGTTGAAGAAGATTGCCAGGGAACAAAATAATGGAAAGACAAAAAGAAACTGAGGAAAGTGTTATCTTGAAATTTATATACTAAACCTAACACATAAAATAGCACACCAAAAAGAATCTTGATTCAACCTTTGACAAAACAGTAGATATAAGATATAAATACTAGTAACATTATACAGGCAGCGAACAGGGCGTTTGAATCAATGAGGAAGAAAAAAATCTAGCAAAACCAAAGTTAGAAGGTCAGAAGAGGAAGCAAAAGCAAAACTGATTCAAAGATTGACCATAAGAATTGGAAAGCTGCTGGAGGACCACAGGATCAAAATCATCCACTCTGTTTAGCCAGGAAAGTTGCCAAATCAGATTTTCTTAGAATACACACACAAGAATTGGCTCTTGAAAGGGCGAAGCTAATTATTAAATATAACGAAATATATCAGAAGTAAACAAAAAGGAAGACCAAAGCTATTTTTAAAACTAGAAAATAAGCAAAGAAACAGGCCGTCTGATATAACTGACCATATTACCGTTGGAGGAGAACGTACAATGAAAAGGACAATATACGGTAATTATGGGATGGGAGATACATTTCGAAAATCTTGCAAGGTCAGAGGAGAGTAAAAATTTTTAATGATTTTTTTTTAAATTCTACAGTGCACTACAGTATTTACTAATCAATGAAAGCTTATGCAAAGCCAATAGAAAACAATTTGAAAAGTTATCAGGGAAAAAAACCCAAAAAATGTTGTTAAGAGAGCCTCAGAAATCTGAGGCAGTAGACATGTCAGGCCTCACACAGGAGCATCTCAAAATTGTCATTGATCAGATATCAGATACCCGGCCCCCAGCTCTTACTACCATAGCAACGCTATATATACTATATATTTTTTGTTAGGAGCCAAAAACGATACAGACCCATATTGATACCAGCAGGCATGCTTATGAAGCTATCTTAGAACTAAAACATAACTTAGGACGAACTTAACGAAATATCTTAGTCTTAAGTGAGTCCAACGAAGTTATCCTATCTCAGGAGACTTCTTAGTCTTAGTCTTAACTTTAAGACGATGACAAGCTTTTCCTGAGACATAACTTGATTTAGGAAGCGCTGGTGCAAGGAAAACAACTAGGAATTATTGAATGCACATTGTTTAAGTAATTTAATCCAATAAATTTTGTAATATATTAGTTTCTTTTACGAATTTAATCAATTTACTAAAAATTGTGCCGTTTCATTGTCTATGTAAGCATCCACCTGAATAAAGAGAAATAAAGAAAATAATAAATGAAAATTCATTCATTAATTGATGCAGTAAGCATGTACCAGATTAAAACGTTCTGAAGTTGGTGTACTTAAACTCTTTTGAAATGAATACAAATATACCGGTTATTGATGTGTTCTATTTTTTTGTTGGGAGGCTGCAGTATAGGAGGATGCAGTCCCATGCTAATAGGACTCGAGTCTCTCTCTCTCTCCATAAAGAAGATGGGTGAACAAGGCGGGCGAAGTGCCTATAGTGCCACAAATATGAAGTGAAAAATAAGATCTCAATTACATCGAAATTTTCTTTGATATTTCATCTAACATTAAAGTAAACTTTATGTAAAATCTCTACAATTTACAAAAATCTCACAAAGACTGAAGTTATTTGCCTACGAAATAGCATACACACACTAAAGAGGACAAAAGGGATCATTTTCTCATACTTTAACAAATTTTTTCGATACGAGTGGGTCTTTGCACCATTTTTTTGAAAGTTAATCCTAAAAGTTTGCATTAAGATATACATTTTTTAGATTACAAAAACATGGAGCAAAGACCCACTGTATCTTAAAAGTACACTTTTATGACAAAACATTCGCATCTTTCCGAGAAATACTTAAGTCCATTAAGTCAAGGGTCATATCACAAACATGATTTAAATGCCACAATTCATCAGGAGCTGCGTAGCGTAGTGGATAGCGTGTTAGTCTCAAAGCAATATGATACTCCCGATTTTTATTGTTAGGGGTTCGAATCCCACGAATACAATTTTATTTTTCAATAAAAGAATATTTTTTTCCGAGATTTTTTTTCTCAGAAAAGCTTTGTTGATCATAATTTCATAAATTTCAATAATGAAAACTTTACTTTAAATACTTCATTAACAAATTGAATATGATTTTTTTAATATCTGAAGCTATAGGCATTCTGTACGCCTTGTTCACCCATCTTCTTTACTGATCTATTCATTGACAAATCTGGCATTACCTTTCAAGTTCAGCATTTAATAAATGTGTATTGCACCAACCTATTGTTTGTATTGTACACGTAGTCGGTGTTAATGATAAAGAAAATATTTAAACAAAATCCGTGCGCGAATGAATGCTTGCACTATCACTCCTTTTCCCAGAGTGAGAGAGGAAGATTCCTCTTAATCATATGGGGACAAACAATGACAAGAATTATGGTTCGAAAATATATCTACATGTAATTATTAATTTTTTTGTTTCTTATTTTTTTAATTTCTATATGTGTATGATAACAATTATAATGTTTTAGGTTTAATTTTAAGGGAATAAGTCACAATAGTGATGTTGCATACTGGAATTCCCACTTCAAAACTTTTTTCCAAAATTAATTATCCAGTATAATACAAATAATTATCTATGAAAACACCAACGTATATTTACATCCATTGAATATTATCTCCTTTATATTGTTGTTTATCAGTCAGAAAATACCGCTAAGCATATCACAGAAAAAAATAACATATCCCGCTTACGCGGAGGAATAGCATTTCACAGAAATTTCTATTCTAGTTATCATGGCAATAACGTTCATCGAAATCAAAAACCGATACAAAGAAAATATGAAACTTAGTGCAGTTTACTTGCATACCAAGCTATATTGATAGTGTGCGAGGTTGGAGCCAACCGAGGAGCTCCGAGTGAATCAATGGCCCTAAGTGCCGATTACACAATGTAGGTTTGGAGTTGAAGCCCTTCAACGGTATATGATGACGTCTCTTTATGAGCGAAAAATTCTCAAATGGAACGTAATACAACATATTAATCAATCAATCGAAATAATCTGGGGTCCCACAAGGAACTGTGCTTGGGCCAACATTGTTCCTTATCTTTATTAACGACATTGCAAACAACATCACTTCAACTATTCGATTATTTGCAGATGACTGTGTCATCTACAGACCTGTGCTTTGCCAACAAGACCATGAACAACTACAGAGGGATTTGAATACACTAGTGAATTGGGGTGACACCTAGCAAATTGAATTTAACATCAAGAAGTGCGCTATCATGCAGTTTGGAACATCAACAAAGAAAGCCCACAACTACATCATGAAGGGGGAGTCACTCGAGATAGTAGATCACCATCCATACTTAGGAGTTGAACTCAGTAACAACTTGAAGTACAACTTACACATAGACAACATCTGCAAGAAAGCTTCTAGTGTGTTGGGATTCCTGAAGCGCAACCTTCGACATTGTCCACCAAAGGTCAAAGAAAGAGCATACCAGAGCCTATAGCTCGACCAAAGTTAGAGTATGCAAGACCAATATGGAATCCACAACAGAAAATACAACAGTAACAGATTGAACAAGTACAACGTAATGCAGCGAGATTCGTTAACAACAAACCTTACAACCCAGAAAAACCAGACAGTGTAACATCTATGATGCAGGAACTCAAATGGAACACTCTAGAACAGAGACGTATTTGGACTGATGTAACACTCATGTACAAAGTAGTCAACCAACTTATAGCAGTCCCAATATCATAACCCCCCCCCCCCCCCCGGCAACAGTAGGAGGAACTAGGAACAGTCACTGCCTGAAATTTGTACCATACCACTGCCGAATTAACGTTTACCAACATTCATTTTTTCCAAGAACCATCTACTACTGGAACACTCTACCAGAATCGGCCATACTTTCACCATCGTTGGAGCAGTTTAAAACATCTATTCAGAACCTTTAACCTTGGAATACTCACCCTATTTACTAATATACCAACAGTAATCTGTACAGTGTACATTTATGTTAAGGTGCAACCTTTTTTACAATTGGAAATTCCACTGCACGCATGTACATAGTCCTCGCTAGTAAATGTCCTTATTGGATTTTCGCGAGTATCCACGTTGAAGTTGAAGTCATAGTTGAACGGTTCACAGATACCTGTGGACGGGAACTTCCACCACCCCCACCCCAAAGTTCGACGGCTCTTTTTTCATAATTATAAAATATTTTTGTACGTCACATTCACAAAGTATTACAACCGAAAAATCCAAAATATAACCAAAAACTAGTCTTTCATAAAAATCACACTCTCTGATACTTTCTGTACAGAAATATATTTTTTAAAATGCTTATTTCAGCAATTTGTTATTTTTATTTAAATAAATGTATTTAGACGCACATAGAAAAATACACGATACAATACAGAACACACCATCCTGTAACCGAGCACGTATGTGCAAAAATCGAGCACCCATGCTCTCTATCACAGGAGTTCGCATACCTATCAACAGTGATCAATTTAATCGAAATTTTCAGTAAATAAAAAAAATACGTAATACCTATAATAATAGGTATTACGTATTTTTTTTTATTTTACTGAAAATTTCGGTTAAATTGATAGGTATGCGAACTCCTGTGCTCTCTATCAATGCTTTTCTATCCGGAGTTACAAACGTTTACATGGAAAACTTCTCTGTACGTCAGAGGAATTAACATCCGGTATTTATATTGCTGATTGCAATGACAGCAAAATTGAACAAATACGTCTATGCAACAAGTTATTAACTATTTCTCGACTTTTATGTTTTTGACGACTCTTTTAAACTTAAGGTAACTGTTCCCTTGATGACATTTTCTTTCAGGGTGTTCAAATTGGTTGTTTTGTTGCTCGAAAAGAGGACACTCACTGTAATATTGTAATATATTTTTCCAAGGACCTATATACAGGTCCAGCACAATACCCTGATAAAGGTATATAGCTTGATAAAGCTGTATAGCTTTATCAAGGTATTACAAATACCTATTCTCTTTAGAGAAGTGGACAGGCTTTCGCCTACATCCACTTCTCTTCGCAAGCCTTCATGTTTTGATTCTGGAAAACGTGTAAATCTCGAACCGGTGACGGTCTACACTTCAACTGACGTAAGTACATTTCGTCTAAAATACGTCTGAATGTACGTAATAGATGTGTTATATTAACAATTTTAACATAAATACACACAATTGTCACAAGAAAACTGACCTTTAAGTATTGTTAATCCATTTTCACAAGTTCTGCATCCCGGATTTAAATTATGTGCAAGTAACTCTTGAAGTATTCAAAAATCTCTCATTCAGATAAAAATGGAAACTATTTTTACAAAATAATAATGAAACGAGAGAAATCGTCTACTCTCTTTAAACTAACGAGACAGTATTTCCTCAAGTTTCGTTCAAATTCTTTTGATCATTGTTTTAAATCTTTTTTCATTTCTCGGGAAAGGTAGAGTTAATATCGTTTAAAAATAAAAGAAAATATTTTTTAGTATTGTCAGTGAGGAAGTAATGAAGTATTTTTAAGCTCAAGTTACATTTAAATTGTATTAAAATAGTAAAAATAAGTATAGGTAATAATATTAATTTTGAATAATATGCTAAATCAAAAGTGAATTGTCAAAAACTTTTTTTGAACATTAAAATACGCCAATTTTTCCAAATTATCCGACTTAAAATTTTCAATTTTTTCTAATAAGCTGTGGTAGATAAACATTAGTTTAAATCCGGGATGCAGAACTTGTGAAAATGGATTAACAATACTTGAAGGTCAGTTTTCTTGTGACAATTGTGTGTATTTATGTTAAAATTGTTAATATAACACGTCTATTACGTACATTCAGACGTATTTTAGAAGAAATGTCAGTTGAAGTGTAAACTGTCACCGGTTCGAGATTTACACGTTTTCCCGAATCAAAACATGAAGGCTTGCGAAGAGAAGTGGATGTAGGCGAAAGCCTGTCCACTTCTCTAAAGAGAATAACAAATACCTTGATCAAGGTACTTTATCAAGCTATATACCTTTATCGGGGTATTGTGCTGGACCTGATATACTGTTAGTATATAGGTCCCCGGTTTTTCAATATTTTGATTGTTTTATAGCATACAAGGATCATAATATAAGGATCATAATATATAACATAATATATAATATAAGGATCAAGCCAATATAGCTTAACTGTGTGGTAAATTTAAAGTCTAAATAATCATTTTTACATTCCACATTGGTTTTGCTTTTAAATTGTGTAGAAAGCTATGGCATTCAAAACGCCATAGTGTGGATGGGGAGGTCAAAAGGTTAGAGTATGAATTTTATTTTGATGTCGTAAACGTGGAACCCGTACAAGTGCAACATTAAAAAAAAAAATCTATGCTCACATTGAACAGTCTGAGGGTAGTAGCTGATACAATGCTCTTCCATTAATTGTAACTTACACGAAGGACAGGGATTTTAAAATGTAAATCAGATTTGCAGACAAGGCAGAAGTTTAAAAATTTAAATATAAGCATTAAATTATTATTTTTTGAAAGATGAAATCTCATAACTGCAATGGTGTGTGCAAACAAACTTTCATAACATGCTAACAAGCATTACTCAGTCACTTACTCTGTTTGCACACAGTATGTTGCTGTTATAAATCTATATTTTTCAAAAAATAATTCAATTCTTAAATGAATCTAATTTAATAATAATAATATACTAGTGCCCTGTTCATATGGAGAGTTTAATTCAAATTAAACATAAGTTATTGTGAATGAAATTTGAGCTGCATTGTCGTGGGAAATTTAATGCCAGTTTGTTTAATTTGAAATAATTTACTGCCCATTAATTTGCTTCACATTATCTCCGTGTGAACACGTCCAAGCGAAGCTAATATGAATTAAATTTTGATGCATGCATAATTGTAAAATTAAGTTACATGCCACATGCCGATGGTCAGATATAGGTACTTGATATGCTATTTTTTAGTGAAAAACAAAGGAAAATTATGTTAATCACTGAAATGTGTACAGACACTATGGCATTATGCCAAATAGATCTGCTCTGCATAAGGTGACGTGATTTGAAAATGATGTCATAAATGCCATTTTGCCGACAGAAGATACTGTAGCAAATTTATATACAGTAACATGGTTTCATGGAATACAGAAAAAACATTAAAATTCTACTTCTCAAGAACAGCAGAGCAATCATTAGTTATATTTACACTGAAGCATCTTCAGGTAATGTAGATTCTAATTTGTTCAAATATGACCCCCAGGGGTAGGATTGGGCCACAATAGCCATTCAGTTTTGTATGTAAGAATTTAGAGAAATTTTTTTTAAAGTCTTCTTCAGAACAGCAAAGCCATGGTTAATCATATACATATATGTATGAAAGCATCTTCAGATTCAAGTTTGTTCAAATCATGACACCTGGGGGTAGGGTGGGCTGGGGTAGGGCAGAGCCACAATATATTATCTTAATTTTACATGGGAATATATTGGAAAAAATCTGCTGATAATGATGAACAAAAGGACCATGGTTACTGAGGTGAGCATTGTGGCCCATGGGCCTCTTGTTGAAATATATTTCCCAAGGGTATTGAGTCCATGCCCTGCCCCTGGATGTAGTAGATTTAAAAATGAATTCAGGAAGAATGACCCTCTGCTAAGATTGATACCCTTAAGTTGATAAATTATTATTATTTATAAAATTCACATTTTCAGCAATAATTTAAATCTCAAAACTTTTCCTTTATTTAAACCAAATTTATTTATTTGGTGTGTTAAAAGTTGTTTTTTGATGAGTGAGAAAAGCATTGACTAATGTTTATAAGGAGTATTTATAGATATTTTAAGTTATTTTTCTTTACTTCCATGTAGTAAAGTTTGCCAAGAGCAGGGTAATCAATATGTGGCATGAGGCACCAGAGCTGGTGCTAAAACATATCTTCTGTTACCTTGAGGCTTCTGATCTTCATGCTGTTTCCTTGACATGCCGGTTATGGCATCAAGTGGCAAAGGAAGATGCTGTCTGGAAACAACTTGTTCAGAGATTATGGAAAATTAAGGGTATTGAATTTTAGCAACTTGTTCAGAGATTAAGGAAAATTAAGGGCATTGAATTTAAGCAATTTGTTTATAGATTATGGAAAATTTCAAAAAATTAAGCCTTTTTTTTTAAAATTAGTAATCAGCCACTCTTTGAAAAACCTGGTATTTTGAAGGTTCACAAGCTTATAGCTTTAGTAAGAACATGACTGTTGAAAATTTAGGTTTACTTTAGAAAGACTAAAGTCTGCTTTATATTTATGTATTCATATACTGCAATTTTGAAAGGACTAAGTTTGCCATCAGGAAGAAATTCATGGAGGAATGAGTTTCGACGTCTAACATATGAAACACCCACATCCCTCAGTGAAACATTGCATGAACACACAGATGAAGTTCTAGATGTCAGCTTCTCACACAATGGGAAACTGTTCTGCACTACTTCCAAGGATGCAACTGTGAAGGTTCACAACACACAATCTATTTCAAGCTGTTTTCAGATTATCAGTTTATATTAGACAGAAGTCAATTTATTTGAATTTAAGTGATAAAATTGAAATATTTATTCTCTGTGTTGCTTTTAATCGTGATGCAAAAGTATCACTCATGATCAATCTGATTTGTAAATTCTTATTCAGAATACTGTAGATCACCATATTTTTGCTACACCTTAATTTTGCGAGATATATTATATAGGTATTTGGTATTTATAAGCAAGACAAAATTTTCACGAATTCAAGGTAAAGTTGCATATAATCTATACTAATGGAAATAAACGCGAGAATGAAATTTTCGCGAGCAGACCGTCTTGCGTAATTACGCAAAAATTAAGTTAGCTCGCGTATAAAATGTGATTTACAATATATTGAACATAATGCAGTTTATATGATATCTTTTCATAACAGGTTTGGGAACTTGGATACCCTACAAAAATAAAGCACAATGCAAAGATGTTGATTTTACTGGGCTGGAATCTGACACAGTTTTCCATATTTAATAAGAGTGACAGCTTCTTGTGTGTATGTGGTGTTCAGTTTGGGGGAACTGTTGGGAACTATTTTCCCAGCTCTTCTGGTAGAGCAGCAGTATTCAGAACCAGTGGTAAATACATAATGTAAACCAATTATTATTTGCGATATCATTTATTTGCGATTCCTCAGTATGGAATCCATCCGTGACTACCAATTTTCATGACCGAGGCAACATTCTATATAAATACGTAGGTGAATAATTGGTTCACTATGAAATATTTGCGAGTAAAGGAAGGTCGCGAAACTCACAAATATTTCTCGCTCACGAATAAAAGTTGGTTTACAGTACACGTAATAATTTCACTCAAGTGGAAGATTAGAGTTTTTCCAATCAAAGTTTGTCTGTTGTCATTCCAAAGGTCAATAACTAATAAAGGAGCATCATTTTAAAATCTTCTCAAGATTGTATGGGCAAGAAAGACCCATTTATTTGACAATGTTTGAATACAGGAACCAGGGTTAGGATTGGGCTATAATAGTGGGCCAAATTTGAACAGAAATACTGTATAGGGATGTAAATTTGTGGATGTCATACTTTTTTTCTTTGGCATGTTATTGCAGGTGTTTGAATTCATTTGTACAAAAATAAATTAAGTCTTCAATGTGTATATACACTGTAATGACCTTTTGAGATGTACATTACTACTGTTACATGTTCATCATGCACTGTTTCTTGAATTTGAACATGACTTCATCCAGAACATGATAATTACTAGTAAAGCAAAACTTAAAACCAAAGTGAATTTCTTCCTACTCCCTGTAATAAAATATATTGTTTGTTTGTTTGTTTATTGTTGTAAACTCTCTAACCACTGCGCCACGTGGGCGACTGTGGCAAAATATAAGAATAAATCTGAAAAAAATTACTTAGAGGTGCATTGAGTGAAATAAATATGAAAGAATATTGCTTAGATGCCTTTTTTTTTTATTGAAATTGCAACTCTTTAGGCTAGACTTGGGCTAGAATTCATTTAGCAATGGATGTGTCACCAGGTTCACAGGTGTATGAAAGTCAGTCAATATATCGTGTCTCAATTGCTCAGTGGTTTTGAGCACTGGCATGGTACGCCAGAGACCATTGGATCGAGGTTCTGGTTGAGACTTGATTTTTCACCACCTGTGCACTCTACAAATACCAACTATTCCCTGGGAACATGCCTTACAGCATTTCCTTTACTCCTGGAATTCGAGGACGAATTTCTACAAAGAGGGGGAATATGTCACCAGGTTCACAGGTGTGTGAAAGTCATACAATACATATTGGGTCTCAATAGCTCAGTGATTAGAGCCCTAGCTGGCACGATACGCCAGAAGCCCTAGTGGGTTTGAGTTCCAGTGAGACTAGATTTTTCACCACCTGTGACAGATGGTTCCAGTTTTATGGATGGAGGGATATATAAAAATTTAAAGGTTTTTCTAAACATGGTATTAAATTTAAACTTTTAAAAATCAGGGCATACACATTTTTAATAAGATTAAGACTCTGAATTAAAGCAAAATTGGGTTCATGACCTCATTTTTTTCTGTGATTTCCCATATGACTTGAACATTTTCTTAAATATTTTGAGGAATTTCTTCCCTCATTCAATTAAAAAAAAAACTTGTTGCGAGTACTGTAGATTCCTAATTATACTCAAGGAATAATTATTGCATAATTTCACAAGAAGCACCACTCACAAAAAAAACTCGCTTTTATTTTTATGGTGCTGAAATTCATGTAAAATCTCTTGATCAACCATCCATTCGCGAATTATATATTCCTGTGATTTGACGTTAAAGAGCCATTGTGCAATAAGTACTCGTGAAAAATAAGGAATCAACAGTATTCTAAAATACTCAAAATTTTGTTACCATAACTTGTTACTTGTGGTAAATTTCTGGACTTTCCTTGACTCCGCTGCTGGATTCATTAATGTCTTGTGATATTAACCTTTCCCTGACCTTTAGAGTATGTGCAACTCAGAGCAGGCTTTTTATGACCTACTGTATAGACACATTTCTTCATAAATAATGTCATATTAATGGATGAAGTCATTGGATCAGGATGCAATAGATATTGGCAGAATGACTTTTTTTTTGTAGATTTTAAGATAATGCAGACTATGATGATGGAGCCTCCTCAACTGTTTGCTGATTGGTATGATGACACTACAGTATTAGGTGGTTATGTTGAAGAGAATCAAACAATCCTTCACATTAAAGCTTTCAAGGTCAGAATTTGTCATGTTATTTCTAGATTCTAAAACACATCACAGGTATATACCAATATGTCATTGAAACCCTTAAAAATTTGAAAAACAGACTATCATGATAACAATTTTTAGTGCCCAAAATTTTCTTTATAACAGGTGAAAGAAGAGGGAACAGGAAATATTCAAGAACCAGTTTCTGGACAGATTGTGTACAGTTTTGATACTGATCATCATCACACTATGAACCTCCTTGTGGCAGATCTTCCTTGTGAACATCAGTCACATGATCAGTCGTGTTACCATATTTTTACAGCTCATCAGAAAATGAAAGGAACCCAGCATGTTAAAAATGGAAAAATTAAAGAAACCGATTCAGTAATGAATAAAGCATGCTCTTGTGAAAAACAAAAAATGATGATATTTGTATGTGGGCAACATTCTGGTTTATCAATTCATGATGTGACAAATTTACACAAAAAGATTAGTAATAGAAATACCAGGCAGAGTGCTAACTCTAGGCTACCGAATAACAGTGCTAAATCAGCCATTAACAATAAAGTAAGACAGGCATCAGGAGCATCAGGAAGGTCAAGACAAGGTCAAAGAAATCAAAGTGAGGCTAATTCCACAGGGGGTCCTGGTACCTCAAGAGAGCTTCCTGGAGCTTCAGTTGTTGATAAACCCACTCACTCTCCATCATTTGACAAGTATTACATATCTGGGATGAAACTCTCTCAAGATCACAGGTATTATGAAAACCTTTAATAAGATGGTATATTAAAATGATTTAATGTAAATTTTTCCATTTTTATTGATTATCTAAAATACATTTGCCATGTGAAAATTGCTTAGGAACAGTAAAAAGTTAAACTGTGCAGGTGACAGTGTGTTCATTAGTCTGAGTTAGTCTGAGCATCTGTATTCTGCTTTGGACAAAGTGGGCCATTTTCCTGTGCTGGAACTCTTTTATAATGAAAACAATTTTTATTTGTAAACGTCATAGGAGACTAGAGAAAAATAAAACTGCTCTTGTTGATAGAGAAATACCAGGTTAAGTGGAAACTTTTCAGAATTAATATAGCTGAAACACATTCAGTTTCTATAAAATCTAAATTTTACTGAAATACTTTTCTCTGCTACAAAGATAAGTAGTCTAGAAATATAAATACACTGTATTATTTACAAAATTTTTAGAGGACATTAATTTACTGAAAGCAATAATTTTTCATTGATAGTAAGAACATTTATTTGTTGCTTCTTAATGCTTTAAATACAAACATTTTTCCTAATGTTTTCTTTTGGCATGTTTATTTCCCTGTTTCCATATGAAGTATCTTTCATTCTCCCTCTTACACATGAGTTCCAACATGGGAGGTAATTCAAAAATGGCATTGTCAAAACTTACAATTTCATAGCTGTAGATTGTCAAGAAAAGAAGCATCATGAATCAGTGTCAAACCTAAATTGATAGGTTTCTGCAGAGTATTGAACACATTTTAATCTGAAATTTGACGTTTGCATAAAAGATGCTAGATTAATTGTTAGAGGAAGAATGTTATTTGTGGATTTAAATAGCCAGGTCAAAAGCAGTGTTAAAGAACTACGCACGCTAACTCTCGATTCCCGCCTACATTTTACACCCATTTAATTCAATACTAATGGCAATTTGGCCATAAAATCTTCATTGAATGCAAAGAACAGTTCAATGGTAATTGACTGATAATTTTGATACCAGTGTTAAATAGTTAATTACCCCTAATTCCAGCTCTTTAGATAAGGGGGGTAGACGATATTTTCCATTGAAATCGGGTTTTAAAACATCAACACATTTTAAAATATTCTTGGATATGAATAAATGTTCCTGAAATCTTTCCTTATGTTTTACGCATATAAAATGAAACATATATTATTAACAAAATACAATGTTTTAGTAATAAAACCCTTTGAAATTGGTGAAAAAAGAAGCATTTTTGTAGTTTTTTGTCTGTGAACATATGTTCCCCCCCATGAAACACAAAAAGCTTTGGTATAAATTTGTGAAATGACAGTCCATATTACCTGTAAAAAGGAATTTTTGTTTCAGGGGGGGGAAAGATGTTTTAAAAATATTTTCCGTTTTCCGTTGATTTCTATAGTGAAAAACACAAGTTTTACCCAAATTATAGAGTTACTTCTCTTTGTTTTCCCAAAGAAGTAATGTTTTATGAAAATTCATATAATATCTATATAAATATGAAAAATCATTCAAATGTGTTAACTTTAAAATTGACTTGGAGGTAGGCAGGAGAACAATGCTATCGTTCGCAGTTCTTTTGAAAATAAACTGGATAAGGTTTAGAATATTTGTCATGTGACCATTCATTAGCATAATAATACAGAGAAGACCAAAGCCAATACTGCAGTGACCTAATATTAAAATATAATATTACACTGAATATATTTTTAATATATTGTTATCATCTCCCTAAAATAATTAATTTTGTAATATTTACTTTTGTTGCAAATATAATGTAATCTACAGTAAATGTATCTTTAAAATTAAAATACTTTTTACTAAATAAACTGATATCATTTTTTTAACAATTAAAAAAAAATGAACATTGAAACATATGAGTAGCAGTGAACCATTCATTTATCTAACTATTAAAAAAGAAGAAATAGATTGCAGATTATGACTTAGATTCCACCTCTCTTTTTAACTCACCTGAGCCAAAAGATCAAGAAAGCTTTCTGATCAAGAATTCTCTGTTGTTCTGTTGTCTATCTGTCTGTCATCTGATATCTGTCTATTAATTTTTGACATTTTTTAATTTCTTCTCTAGAACTTAATGAACAATTTTAACCAAAATTGCCACAAAGTTTAAATAAAAAGCCAAATCCTTCTTTCAAGGGAAGAAAATTCAGATATAGGAAGATTAAAGTGGAGTCATGACCCACTGAGTCTAAGGTGTGATATAAATTTGAGGTCATGATTTTTCATGGCCAAAGTGATTCAGGTGGGTAAAATTGTGTCCTATGAGCCTCTAGTTTCAATAGAATTAATAAACATCATTATCAATTTTGGTTTCTAGGGAACTGTACTTCAACCACAGAGTGTGCCATTATGATGCATTTGATGATGAGGGTTACCCAAAGATAGATTCAGAAATAGTTATAGATAAATATGACCTTGTCAACAAAACTCACACCAAAGATCTTCTCCAGGGTCACAAAGCTTTCTCTAAGTATCCTGCCTGGTACATCTGTCTAGACATTAATCAGGACTACATTGTCAGGTTTGAAATCAATGTTTATTTTATTATTCATCATTTGAATTTGAAGGGCCAGCTTTAGTGTATCTGCAAGAAATCATACAAGATATACAGTGAATTTTCTTGGTGGTGGGGGGGAGGGGGTGTAAAATTTGGCATTTGGCATTTTGCTTTCTCAAAGGTGTGCCAATAATTATGGTGGAATTTATTTTACACATGGTTTTTATGACTTTGCAAAAGAACACTTAGAGGAATACTGAATGTAAATTTTAGCAAGCCCCAACCAAAATGTTAAAATAAGCCCAAATTAGCACCCTGCTAAAATAACCCACTATAAGACAAGTTAGGGTTTGCATCAAAATATGAGTGCAATGTAGTAATCCCTGGGTCTTTTTGTCTGTCAATCTGTCTACATTTTTATGTGATGCTGTAACCTAAGTACCTTTCAACTAACAGACTTCATATTTACTACATAGGTAGAGAATGGTTAGCGAAATACACTGATAGTTTTTTGGAGTGATGAAAGGTTGAAATTTTAAAAATTTGATATTTAAAAACTTAACTTAAAAAAAATTCTTTATCCTTTAGACTTCATACTTCCTAATATATAGATAGTTAGAGAAAGACACCTATGCATTATACTTTTTGGGTCACAAAGTCAAAGGTCAATATCAAGACTTAATCACTTTGATATGCATCCATGGTATATGAGATATCTATGTTCAAGATACTGAAGTTCAACTGTAAAATGCATTCATTTTTGTGGCTTTTGGTAATTGCCTTATTTGTTGCCTTTTCTTAAATAATTGAAAGATATTGAAATAATTTTTACCCTGACTTTCTTAATGAATTATGAAGATCAAAGGTGGAACCACCTTCGGTGCGCTGGGCGCCTCCCCCCCCCCCCCCCCCCCCCGGTTGAATTTTTTGTATGTAGAACTTATATGTTCATTATCCTAAAATCAAGGGAAAAACACCTCTTATTTGTAAGAATTCGTACAAATTGGGAGCAGAGTAAACATGGACCTCTAAAAACACCAGGTGCCATGGAGGAGTAAGCATACCCTGTCGACTTCTCACACCCGCTGCGTGCGCCTTGTCCTGATTGGCAAGTTATAGATATATACATGTACAAAGATTATATTGCATAAATGTACATTTTTACCTTTACCTATTTAGCTGACTTTTGTGTATCCTTTTGTGCTGGCTCGTCTTACAGAAAGTAAACATTAGAAATGTTCACTTCTCTCATTTCATGTAACAGGCTGAGTCATCTTTTTTATGTGAGACTTAAAACCTCTAACTTTATTATGGGTTGCACACTGAGTGAAGTTAGGCCAAAAATTGATTTGAAATATGATTTTCAGTGCATTTATTCTGTATGTAAGTTCCATCCTTTAAAACTTCTTCGGACATTTTTGTAATTGAATTTTGCAGTGGTAGTGAGGATGGACGTGCTTACCTGTGGGACAGACACTACCTCTGTTTTCTAGGTCATCTACCCCACAGCATTAACCCAGACATCGTGATCAATGGCACTACTTTCTGTCCCACTGACAGTGAGTGTGTGGTCACTGGAGCAGATGATGGAATCATTCATGTGTGGAGGTCACCAAGAAGACATGCAGAACTAGAAAAACAGCAAGGACTGGTGGCTATGGATATGTGAATTACATTGAACTTTACATGAAAAATGCAAAAATTAATTGATGTTTGTATGGATCGAGGAGTCCTCAAACTTTTTTTTAGGAAGTTTTTAAACTGCACACTAAATTGTATTTGCTGACTAGGTCATTGTATCAACCATAGAACTTACGAAATGTGGACTTCAAACAAGACTGCTGATATCCTTGTTAAATGTGTTGAAAAACGATCAGGATTTGTAAATTTCCTGAAAGACATCGCTGCATTCAGCCCGTAAAAAATTGAAGTCTGTCAGGGTCCCACAGCCACAAGTGTGGACTCGGAAACCGACGTTGTAAGGCCAAAGTTTTTTTTCCTTTGGTTTACGATTCCGCCGACCATAATTTTTACCAATCAATGTCTTTCCGACATATTTTTCCGGATTTTTCTCAGCTGAACTTGTGGGTTTTAAATTTTAGAATGCATCTTAGTCGATTGATTGATTGTATATTGTTTTACGTCCCATTCGAGAATTTTTCACTCATATAGAGACGTCACCATATACTGGTGAAGGGCTTCAAATTTTGACCTTTACTCGGCACTCAGGGCCATTGAGCAGTGAGGGATCTTTATCGTGCCAACGCCTGCCGTGACACGGGGCCTCGGTTTTTAAGGTCTCATCCGAAAGACCCGCAACTTTCACTTCAAAGTGCCGAGCGCATGGCGAAGGAACAGTTGCTACCTATTTTTGATCGACTTAGGTCTGTCGCGGCCGAGATTCGAACTCACGACCTCCCGATCACGGAGCGAGCGCTCTACCTACTGAGCTACCGTGAACGGTGCATCTTAGTCGAATAAGCACTTATCAATATATGAGACCTTTACAAACATTTAGGTGACCGTAAATAAACGCATGTGCAAACCAAAAATGGCGGTTCTGTCATGTAACAAGGTAATATACCGTAATTCCTCACTGAAAGCAATGACACACACTTAAAGAACTTTTTCTGCATGGAAAAGTGAATAAAATATTGGATGCATGACCCCTTTCTCCAATTACAATGTCTCAATTGGCTAAATTCATACTGTAATATTGGAGAGTTTATGCCCAACCCTGATCGACCTAGCAGACAGGGTTACACCTATAGATAACAGGGATTTATCAGTGCCTTCTCAGGGGCCGAAATTCGGTCCCATTCCCAACTGAAAATGAGTTTCATTTATTTAAATCATTTAGCAAAGCTACAGTCATAACACATGTTTAAAAACACTGTAAAAACATCGCCAACTTTTAATCCGAATGTCCTCTGTTTTTCTAAAAAAAAATGATATTGTGTAATTATATAGATTTATTAAGTTATTTCTACCTACTCAATTGATCTACGAGTGAATGGTAAGGACTTTAGGCATTATTTCAAATAGAATAAATATATTTTCAATGCATTAATACATATTAAAAAGAGGACTTTTAGAAAATGTGTACGTAGTATAATTTTTTGCAGGAGGTTTATAATCTCCAGAAACAGATACTATATGACCTAAATTGAAATCTCATACACACATGTACTACCTTAAGTTGTATAAACTCATTTGAAGTCCAATTTACTTTTATTATTCTATTATTCATAATTGATCTTGTATGATGAAGATGGATCATATTTAATTGTCGTTTGGTTGCCCAAATTAGAGTTCATGCTGAAATGTTAAAAGAATTACCCCTGAATACAGATTTTAAATAACATTTTAAAATTTTTTCCAATTTCATCAAATAGCCGATAATTTATTCCCAATTCCCCAAAAATGGTGTTTCCCAAAATAGGCTGATAAATCCATGGATAATAGTTAGGCCAATTTAGTGTTGAAAGATACATCTTAGTTGAAGTAACGCTGACCAGTATTTCACTGGATAAATTCAAATGTGTATAAAACATTTGTTAATTTATAGAAGTAAATTCAATATACAAATCTTTGCAAATTTCATACTCAATTGAGATCAAAGCCCTTTGAATTACTAAGTAAATAATGAGCATTGCCTACTTTGCAGGTACATAACAAAAATTTAAAGAAGCTAGGACTTGATTGAGAAATTACATGTATTAGGCTTTTGTGCCGCAGGTTGAACATTAAATTTGATAGCTGCTTGATCAAATTATTATAACCTTTATTTCAACGTCAATTACTTTTGATATTGTTAAATAATTAAATTGTATTTTTCTTCAATCTAAATTTAACTTAAATTTGGATCCTTATTTTTAGTTTGTGGGGATACCGAGGTTTATAACACATCACATATCACTGAAGAGCACAAAAAGAAGTTGAACATTATGAACCAAGCACCAATTGACAAACAAAAATCAGAACTATATGTGAATGAAAATGACATTCAGTCTAAAGTTAGAAATGAATCAAAATTAAATAAAAAGAGTTATGTGATCTAGACAATAATACTTAAAAGTACTAATGACGTGTATTATTTTTATTAAAATAAACATTGCTGGTATTTTAAAATGAAACTGTTGAATCCTAAATTATTTTTATTTTTATTTTTCGACCACCCAATGCATTTTTTTGAGACAGAAAATCGTAAACCAAAAAAAATAAAAACTTTGGCCTAAAGATTGATTGAATGATGTTAAAGTCTGTACTTAGTTATTATAGCATCTAGAGGCTTGTCAATGACTAGGAATATTCTTACAAAAAAAGTTTCTGAAAGGTTAAAATTTTCCAAAATTTTAAAATAGTAGTTGCTTACTCTACTTTCAACTCCTATGTTTCACCTTTAAGGTGATTTCAGGGTGATATAATGCCATTGCTTGCAGTAGCAAAGTTTCTTATGAATAAAGATGTTAAATTTATTTTCCATAAAAATCCTTTTTTCCAATCGCACTGAGGAGTAATTAACAACATAGGTAAACAAGTTTAAGTTAAAGATAGTGTAATACCTGGTAGACATGTTAATGTCATAGTTTCTGGTAGACATGGTTCAAAATGTCAGAATTTCTGGTAAATATGTAAATGTCAATTCCTACTGAAAATCAATTGACATGTTTCCTTAGTATTAGTATTTACATTCTTTTATGAGGTAATTTTTTAAATAAATTTGTTCATGCTTTTGGTAGGATCCTGGCTCTATTCCTTTTTACCCTGATGAAGTTTGATGTATATTACTTGTATATATATCCACTAAAAATGTCACCTCATTATTTAAAAGTGCAAAAGGAATACATAGTTCTACTCCATTTTAATTTAAGTTTCGCAAAATTTTGTTGTTGGCATTGGAAAGTTAATCAAACAGCAACTCGAAATTGAAGATTTTTTTAAGTTTACTTGTATGGTATCAAGAATATTCTTTTTGTGTGTAATTGCTAGAATAGTCTTTATTCTCATGCTGTTTTTATTTGTAAGTGGTAGTGCAGATGTATAACAATATGGACTTGAACTGAGTAAATATCTGTGATAACTATTTATTTCTCAGTATTTTATGTAAAAAAAGAAGAAAAACAAACAAACATTGCAACAGATGTTATGGATGATTTGACTAGATTAGGAAACATTGACTTTTATAAGATGGTTCAAGATTGTAGTGACCAGTTCAATTTGAGGGACGCATGTCCATGCAAATCACAGGTGAAATTCATGGTTCAAAGCTGTATAGAAGGTATTTTTTAAAATATTCCAGCCCTTATACATACATGTTCATGAAACAGGCCCGTAGCAACGGTTTCGAAAGGGGGGGGGGGTAACTTCCCAAAATTAACTGACAGACAAAAAAAAAAGAAGCTTATTTACTGTCCAAATACTGAAATTTGCCTGTGCTCGACCTTTCAACGTCAAAAAGTGGTGGGGGGGGGGGGGAGCCTACATCTAAAGGAAAAATATTTACTATAGAAAAATCTATACTCAGAAAAAAGGGAGGGGGCTCTCCCCCCTTCCGCGTTCTACGGGCCTGTAAACGGTGATATACCTGTAATAAATGTCAAGGTCAACTGACTAAACTAAGTATGTTTATAATCATGATAAAGTCAGGCCATCATTAACAATATCTTTGTTTCCCCTAACCCGACCCAAAAATCTCAAGTTGGGTCGGTAGGTAGGTAAATTATTTTTTTTCTGACAGCAGCTTTGGGAATACATTCTGAAAAATTGAATAATATCTTTATAAATAAGAAAGAACAAAAGAAACCAATTTTAAACCGAATATCATACAAATGTAGCAACATATATGGTAAATTGATTCACAAATATTATTCATTTGAACTTGTAAAATATCTCAGGCCAGAGTAAATTTATTGAAATCGAATATTTACAAAAAACACAAGATTCGCAAATACTGAATCATCGGACATTCGAGTACATTTTTCAAACCTACTATCATCTTCGAGTACTTACACAGACAAAATGTCAAGGGCCTCGCGTGGCACAGTAATTCTAGTGTTTCATTTTGGAGTCACGACGTAATTCGGGAACTAATTCTAAGTCACAGGTCCCGACGTGGGACTTGCAGACCGGTCAGTCGAACAAGACCATAGAAAACGAAGGTCCAGTGTCGGAGTATACATGTAGATGGCACGTAAAAGATCCTTTAATTACTGATGCTTAATGATCAAAGGCCATAAGTGCCGAGTAAAAGTCTAAAATAAGAGCCCTCCACCGGCCCAACAAATTTTAAAGGTATTTTAAAGCAAAGAAACAACCTGTTTTCAAGGGCCTAACTAAAGAAAAATAAACTGGGCGTCTCAGGAAGCCGTTCCATAAGCAAATTTTAAAGATTTCAACACTATTTGGAAATAGTGTACATGTATAAACAATATATAATTCAACCAAACCATATCTAAAATGATTAAAGTTTCATATATCTAATGTTATAGTCACGGAGTCAATACCCCATCAATAAAAGGAATAAAGAAACGACATTATATTTATCAAATGAAATAATCATACAAAGACATATTTACAACTCCTATGGTCCTATGTAGTAAAAATAGCATCGTACATGAACTGTTTATTTGATCGAAACGAATCAAATGCAGTGAAATTTATTGATATGTATTCACAAGGAGCGCTCCTCATCTACTCATGAGGTAGGCTTTGCTATGCTTACTACGTACGTTAATTTTAGAAGACACATTTTTAAATACCATATTAACACTCCTTAGTCATGGCACATTAATTCACGAGATGTCTCAAGAGTGTAGGATTCTAATAAGTTAAAGATATAACTAGTATTACATGTAATTGTAACGGGGACCGTTACAGATGTTCCCCAAACGCTCCCCAACTTCCTTTTGGTGTCTTATTCCCTGTAAGCTTCATTAAAAAAGGCAATCAAGTATATTGGTTTTTTCCACATTACACGCGGGCGCACGGGCATGCATGTAAAAAATGATCATGTCAACTTGTCTACACTTTTAATACATCTTTATATTCA